TCGTCCGCCATTACTAGCTTAAATCTCCGGTCGGGCCGCAATGCATTATGGGATATGCTGGGCCGGGAAGGATCCATCGGACCGGTCCTTCAAATCAGGGAAAAAGAAGGATGTATTTGTTGGCCGCATCGGAGGAGTCTTCGGTTTTGGACGTCCTTCGTCGCGGCGCTGTGACGTATGCGGCGGACGAATTCAGCCTTCGGAGGACCCGGCCTGCCGTTTTGGACACAGCCACTATACAGACAGGCTCTGGTATCATGGCTACCCAGCAACGGAGCTCAAAAGTGTGGGAACTTCTTAAGAAAAGGAAAGAGAAACCTGTGCAATATCTGCAGAGCAGAACTTGTCTTCCACAGCTATTATTTTTAGTTAGCATATAGCTAAAATCTAACGATGGTTATATAATAGCAGCTGCATTCTGACGCGATAAGCTGTATGTTTTATATTCAATTAACGAATGATCCGATTAGTCGACAAATCGAATAAACAATCGGTGATTAATCGATTATTAAAATAATCGTTTGTGGCAGCCCTAGTCAGAAGTTTGATGACGTTCTGACCAGTCAAAGTAGCATTTAATTATTTCCTTTAAGGAAAACCAAGTCAAACTATTAATTATTAGTGGTTAACTGCATTCAAAATGCTGTGAAACAAAAAAAATGACAACTTATTGGTCAAATAAAAACTCTATTTAGGTGTCCAAATAGGGTATTGATAAATTAATATATTTAACAAATCCTAATTTAGCCAGAAATGAAAATGAGAAATAAGTGGCTTCATCATTACAGGTATAGTTAGAGGAACCAAAGTGGAGAAATCTGAAAGCAAAATTAGCTACTAAGTGTAATTTAAAAAAAAGAAGAAGGCTGGTCATAACGTTACGTAATTACGCTCGTGAAAGGCGGCTTAAAAACACTGTAAAAGCATAAAAATATAAGATCCCAYATAGGGAATATTAATTTTAAGATAACAATTTGGTTCAAGTCCTGCTTCTCATTTTTGGGATGAATTCGGCTGCATCTATAAACAGAAAAGGAGAGAACAAAACCCATTTATTTCATCGGCCCCGTCTAAACACCGGGCGGTGATGTCTGCACGGTCAGGTTTCTAACATGGCGCCCGGTTTCTTCACAAAGGTTGTGTTTTATCGTTTGTCGATGAGCACAGCAGTATCCTAATGTACTAATGCCACAGTAACTAATTTAGAGGCGTACAAATCGTTTCCTGTGTGAATTAAGGTGTGTTAGTGTTCTTTAAAATGACGCCATGTCTAATCGGCTYGAGATGCGCCAACCATCTCAACATCAAGAAATGAATTCAAATTTTCAAGAGGCTACTGAAGGCCAGGCTCCCGTCTGTGCTCGTTTATTTTTACAGATAAAACAGATTATTTTCGCCCGGTTTAATTCACATACGGCAGCGTTTCCTCCATTTGCCTACCTGTGCTATCGGCCACATTCCCCACTGAGCTCGCCATCTCCTCGGTCTTCGGGTCTTGAACCGTGGTCGTCAACGTTGCCTTTTAACAAGTTTAACAGCGTTAAAGAAAATGCTGTGGGTCGTTTTCTTTTTTCTCGGTTGCCACAAGCAAAGCACGGTGCCTGACGGAGCGTTAGCTTATTTCCAGTTCTTCGTCGAATTAAAAACCCTAAAATGTTGCTGTAGTCTGTCTACAGTCGAGTAATAACTAGTCAGCTAACGCCGTTAAGTACATCTAACAAAATATCTGTTTTTTCGCAATTAATGTCTTTAAACTGCTTCCCTCTCACAACAAAGCAGCTGAGTTATAYTGAGCATAAAATGGCGATCAGGTGGAACTCGTTTTTGAGAGAAAGTAGGTCCWGATACCGCAAATTTTATTTGCGTTTTTCCATTGAATTGTATCAAACTGTATGCCTATTAGGCAAAAAACAATACGTATAAATCATTTGTTGGTAATTACAAATGATAAAAAAAACAAACAAACAAATACAAAAGCTACCAAGCGGAAGGACACATTGGCGCAGTGAGACGGAGAGCGGATGCTGCTGTGAACAGTGATAGCAACATGGCGTTTAGGTTAGAAAAACGTGAGGTAACAAAAATGTGCAGAGCACTCAATGCTGTAATGTGCTGTAGATCAGTGGTTCCCAAAGTTGTGGTCGGGACCCAAAGTGGGGTCCTGAAACATCAAGGTTGGGTCCTGAAAAGATTTTCTAAATTAATTACATTTTTGCCTTAGTTGCCTAAAATGTATAAATGTAGAATAACAAATGTTGTTACTGTGCCCATGTTTAGTTGACCTGATACAAATGTTTATCATCCAAAAACAGTTGGGGGCACAGGTCTGTGC